CTGGTTTTGCTACGCAGAAGCCGACTTCTCCGAGTATGGCGTCATCGACACACGTGCACAATTCCTCGCAGTAGTCAAGGCACTACCGCGCGAATTCAACAGGTACGTAACACCTAGTATGTTTACTAGTGATTTTTCTGAACCTTACGAAACGCTAAAAAGTTCTATCCTTAAACGAGGAGACCTAACCGATCGACAAAGGTTAGATCAACTCTTTAATAACATAGACCTGCAGCACGGTTCTGCGACGGACATGTTGCAAAGGATTAGAGATGTTACAGGCCCAAGAACTTTCGACGAGAGCCTATTCAAACAACTTTTCTTGTCTAAACTTCCCCAACAGGTGCAAGCGGTTCTGGTCTTGTTTCAGAACAACGCCTTAGACAAGCCGGCTGCATTCGCCGATCGTATCTTAGAAATCACGAAATCTTCCACTACTGAAGTATTTTCAGTCAAAGAAAAGCCCCAAACGACTCGAAACGATATAACCGTGTTATGTGTTATGAGCTAATTGTAAGGAAAGTAATTAGATATGTTTACTGAAAATTATACCCAACTAAGTTCCCCTGAAGGCCCTGAACTTTCAAACTTTCCCGTACAGCGGGACCAGGGATAATACAATAGAGATAAACCACATTGCTCACAATTCTTTTCACCTTGTAGCGATAAATAAATCCCTAAAATAAATAGCTCTGTAAGTTTTCGACATTGGATGCTGACCATATGTTTTAGTGGACTCATCTAGCTGAAGACGCTTGGTCAGCCATCCGCACAAGGTCACGTGTGGTAACGCCGTGCTCAACATCTACCGCAATCGCTAGCCAGATTAGATCGGAGAATTCCGATATATTGGTTATCGCCAAATACACTCTTCCGATCTCCTCGACTCTGTCTTTTGATTTCTCTTGGTGGTTACAAAATATATTAGGTGTTACTGGTAAAAGCGTTGTCAAACACTGAATACCTGTGCCATCTACATTGGTGAGACCGACGTGATCTGGTACACCTAATTGCAACTGTGAGTCCGCTCCTTTATGGGATTTTTATATATTATTGCCTTATTTTTATTTTTTATACATTGTGATATTTTTTCCCCGCGTTTTTGGATATCTATATATTTTTCACTCGTGTATTCTCGTACTTAATTTCCCCTATGACCGAACAGACTCCTAAGGTATTTACGATTAAGGCCATGTCCCCACCCTCGTTCCAACTCATGCCCTTCTGGCCCGACAACATCAAAGCCTGGTTTTGCTACGCAGAAGCCGACTTCTCCGAGTATGGCGTCATCGACACACGTGCACAATTCCTCGCAGTAGTCAAGGCACTACCGCGCGAATTCAACAGGTACGTAACACCTAGTATGTTTACTAGTGATTTTTCTGAACCTTACGAAACGCTAAAAAGTTCTATCCTTAAACGAGGAGACCTAACCGATCGACAAAGGTTAGATCAACTCTTTAATAACATAGACCTGCAGCACGGTTCTGCGACGGACATGTTGCAAAGGATTAGAGATGTTACAGGCCCAAGAACTTTCGACGAGAGCCTATTCAAACAACTTTTCTTGTCTAAACTTCCCCAACAGGTGCAAGCGGTTCTGGTCTTGTTTCAGAACAACGCCTTAGACAAGCCGGCTGCATTCGCCGATCGTATCTTAGAAATCACGAAATCTTCCACTACTGAAGTATTTTCAGTCAAAGAAAAGCCCCAAACGACTCGAAACGATATAACCGTGTTATGTGTTATGAGCTAATTGTAAGGAAAGTAATTAGATATGTTTACTGAAAATTATACCCAACTAAGTTCCCCTGAAGGCCCTGAACTTTCAAACTTTCCCGTACAGCGGGACCAGGGATAATACAATAGAGATAAACCACATTGCTCACAATTCTTTTCACCTTGTAGCGATAAATAAATCCCTAAAATAAATAGCTCTGTAAGTTTTCGACATTGGATGCTGACCATATGTTTTAGTGGACTCATCTAGCTGAAGACGCTTGGTCAGCCATCCGCACAAGGTCACGTGTGGTAACGCCGTGCTCAACATCTACCGCAATCGCTAGCCAGATTAGATCGGAGAATTCCGATATATTGGTTATCGCCAAATACACTCTTCCGATCTCCTCGACTCTGTCTTTTGATTTCTCTTGGTGGTTACAAAATATATTAGGTGTTACTGGTAAAAGCGTTGTCAAACACTGAATACCTGTGCCATCTACATTGGTGAGACCGACGTGATCTGGTACACCTAATTGCAACTGTGAGTCCGCTCCTTTATGGGATTTTTATATATTATTGCCTTATTTTTATTTTTTATACATTGTGATATTTTTTCCCCGCGTTTTTGGATATCTATATATTTTTCACTCGTGTATTCTCGTACTTAATTTCCCCTATGACCGAACAGACTCCTAAGGTATTTACGATTAAGGCCATGTCCCCACCCTCGTTCCAACTCATGCCCTTCTGGCCCGACAACATCAAAGCCTGGTTTTGCTACGCAGAAGCCGACTTCTCCGAGTATGGCGTCATCGACACACGTGCACAATTCCTCGCAGTAGTCAAGGCACTACCGCGCGAATTCAACAGGTACGTAACACCTAGTATGTTTACTAGTGATTTTTCTGAACCTTACGAAACGCTAAAAAGTTCTATCCTTAAACGAGGAGACCTAACCGATCGACAAAGGTTAGATCAACTCTTTAATAACATAGACCTGCAGCACGGTTCTGCGACGGACATGTTGCAAAGGATTAGAGATGTTACAGGCCCAAGAACTTTCGACGAGAGCCTATTCAAACAACTTTTCTTGTCTAAACTTCCCCAACAGGTGCAAGCGGTTCTGGTCTTGTTTCAGAACAACGCCTTAGACAAGCCGGCTGCATTCGCCGATCGTATCTTAGAAATCACGAAATCTTCCACTACTGAAGTATTTTCAGTCAAAGAAAAGCCCCAAACGACTCGAAACGATATAACCGTGTTATGTGTTATGAGCTAATTGTAAGGAAAGTAATTAGATATGTTTACTGAAAATTATACCCAACTAAGTTCCCCTGAAGGCCCTGAACTTTCAAACTTTCCCGTACAGCGGGACCAGGGATAATACAATAGAGATAAACCACATTGCTCACAATTCTTTTCACCTTGTAGCGATAAATAAATCCCTAAAATAAATAGCTCTGTAAGTTTTCGACATTGGATGCTGACCATATGTTTTAGTGGACTCATCTAGCTGAAGACGCTTGGTCAGCCATCCGCACAAGGTCACGTGTGGTAACGCCGTGCTCAACATCTACCGCAATCGCTAGCCAGATTAGATCGGAGAATTCCGATATATTGGTTATCGCCAAATACACTCTTCCGATCTCCTCGACTCTGTCTTTTGATTTCTCTTGGTGGTTACAAAATATATTAGGTGTTACTGGTAAAAGCGTTGTCAAACACTGAATACCTGTGCCATCTTCAACCATTAACTCACTTTAGTACTAAATTACATATCAGACTACATTCATTTATGATAGAACACGAATGAGCTGAGGCGAAATGCTTTGCGAATATCATCAACGTACTGAGCTCTTTGTCAAGAAGCATAGTACTGGCCCTATCTGCGGAGCCTTCGAATATAGGGATCGACGGTTATTTTGGTTCTTTATATTCAGAGGCTGACTACTCTAGGTTTTTGTTTCACTATTACTAACAACTTACGTTTTACACTTTATATTCTCGAAGAAATAAAGCAAAACCACATTAATCTATCAGCAGCGATCTCCTTATATGGAGGTGAATTTTTTAACGGAAAAAAAGTTCAGCAGTTCTCGTAAGCAATGTCTAAATTTCATTTGTGGTTTGAAACTATGCTGATATATTTAAAAAAGTTTCTTCACTTACCTTCGCTTGCAGAGTTTTGACAAAGATCACTATGGATGTTGCTATACGATTTGTTTTGTTAGTTTCCATGTTTGCTTACTTTTTTTATAGAGACTAGATAGTGTTTGACTATTCCTATCCATCAAGGTTTAGATGTAACTTCAGTCTTCAGTCTTCAGTAATAAGGATAGGAGGTCTGTCGACCTATATTAATCCTTGCAGTTTGTAATACTGTGGAGGTCCAATCTCGTTTTGAATATATTAACAGATGGAGCTGATATTACGTGTTCCGGTAGAGAATTCCAGTAATTCACTACTCGGTGCGAGAAACGGAACTCCAAACGTAAACGGTTTGATCTCGGTTTTTGAACTTTCTTCGAATGTCCTCTCAAATGATCAGTCCTAGACGGAAGCAAAAGATAAGACATGTTAATACCAAGGTCATCGTTCAGTATACGATAGGCCAATATTAGATCACCCCTTATTCTACGGTAAGATAACGGAAATAAGTTAAGGTGTCTCAGTCTGTCTTCATAAGATAGGCCAGATAGACCTTGTACCATCTTAGTAGCTCGTCGTTGGACTCTTTCTAGCATATCTGCTTCATATTTGAAACAAGGACACGCTGCTTGAATCCCGTATTCTAAATGTGGTCGCACATAAATCGGGTATAGTAATCTAAACATTTCATCATCTAAATACTGGAAAGACCTACGAATTGACCATAATACCCTATAGCCTTTCGCAGCAGCAGCCTTACAGTGACTAGTCGTTTTGAGATCATTGCTTAATATGACTCCTAAATCTTTATAGTTTCTTACTTTGGGTAGCACGAATCCACGTAGTGTATAGTCATACGATTCATCAGAGTTATTTAACTGCATCACTACACTCTTATTAGGATTTACTTCTAGTGACCACCTATCTAACCATGCCACCAATGAGCTAAGATCGTCCTGTAATACTATCCTATCCGACATGCTATGTATGGGTCTCCAAATCTTTATGTCATCAGCGAAGAGTAGAACGGATGATTTTGCTACAGTTGGCAATTCATTTACATAAAGTAAAAAGAGAAGAGGACCTAGGATTGTACCTTGGGGAACCCCACTTTTTACAGGTACCCACGAACTAGTTAAAATTATGTTTTGTCCACTTCGGACGCAAGTTGCGCGGAAGTGGTTGTCCGCTGTTTCAGGTTGACAGTGGTTATGATTGAGGGCTGTGACATTGTTTTAATGGTTCAGTTCACTTGTTACTACCTGGCTCGAGTTTAAATACTTGCGAAATTGTGTTAAGATCTGAGGGCATTACTTCATGTGAGCTTTTCATCGCGGGTTTTTTCGTTCTAAGTTGTTCTCTGTAAAATATCGCTGTGATAACCAACTGCTTTGGTGTTTGGTTTTTGGGGTTCAGGCAGGATTTTGAGCTAGAAATATAACTTAAGTTATATTTCTAGCTCAACATCATTATTCAATTGAATAATAGATCTATGTTCATTACAATCTTCTGGCTGAGAAAATAAAAAAAATTCTCTTATATGAGATATCAAGTCTTTTTAAATTCACAAATATATGCGTGAACCCAATTTGTATGGCTTTAGATCACAACAGGCTTCGATCGTAAACTTGTAATAAGACTTTGAAGTCTTCTGTACTGAAATATTAGAAAGTGCATCTTAACATAAGGAATATTTCGTTTCTCGTCCTTGTTAAACGTGACCTGTATAATATGTCTTAGGATCCAACCAATGCATACAATAAGACCAACGTGCTAGAAGTAAAGAAATCTTCAGGACAAGTTACCTGGAAGTTTCTGCAGACAGGAAACATAGATAATGGGGTCTTCTGAATTTATCATGAGATCGCAACAGGTTGTTGCGTTTTCGCCACTGTTGTGCAATTTTTTGTGGAAAACTGTCCTGGAATTTTCATCAATGTAGTCAGATGATGGTACTCACTATCACTACTCCCGTTTACCTTCATCGTCGACTTATTAGTGTGCAGATGTCAGAGCTATCTGTTCAAATATAGTAATAGGATTTGTAAACATCTAGATTTGAATAGTCCACAAGTTTCTCACCTGTCAATTATGTTGCAATATTAAAGTATTCGAAGGAATTGTCTATTTAATGAATAGGAAGTGAAGTGGTTATCCTTTCTAATCACGTTTCTTATGTTTACACCAACTGGTCCGCAAAACAAATTTTCCGAGACATTGAATATACATTCAGCATATATCAAACACCACCTATGTCGCTAGTGTCCAGTTACTTATTGATGGATGTATGAGTTCACCACACAAAACTTCACTGTATGCTACTGTACACTTGTGACTAAAGGATGCAAACATATTACGGGCGTTTGATTACGTGTCTTTAAAAAATTTACCATATGAACTGAAGCAAGGAAATAAGCACTTGAATTTTAATTTAAGGTTAGACTGAATAAGTTCAGTCAATGGGGTTGTAAATATCCCCCAAGCAAATGGACTGAATTACTTATTTTACACGCCAAATTGTCTACCGTGAAAGACCATGTTGTATAAACCAGGTTCCAGGCAAGTCGAGTATGGGGCTGTGTGATGAACTCATAGATAAACTAGTTTTTCTACAGCCAACTCATCAAGTAAGTCTTTTTGCATAAAATGTTTTATTTTGTAGTCGTGTTTAGTCATCCTCTGCGTTTATACAGTTTAAATTCAGGAAAGCCTATTTAATATGTGCTGTGAGAAATATGTTCTACAGAAGTATCTTAACTGTTTAATCAGACATAGTTCTCACCTTTTAGATACAATTATACACATATAAGCCATCAATATTCTCCATGATGAGTGGATTACAGTCGAATACTTTTGATAATATCATCCTTTTATGTGATTCATACAAAGTATGTCGCTTCTCTTTGTTTCAACTTTTTTCTGACATTCAAGGTGAGTCACTATTCTCAGTATCCTGCTGGTACAGAATTCATTTACTCATATTTTGAAAGCCGTGGTGGGAGATTTCCCAATTCTGTATTTTTTGGATTGCAGTATATTTTGAAAAAAAATTTAGTTGGTCAAGTAATAACACATGAAAAAATTGATGAGGCGAAATCCATTTTACTTAGCCATTTCGGTAGAGATATTTTCAATGAAGAAGGATGGAGATACATTGCTAATGTTAGTTTTGCTGTACCTTTTGTAAAATTTGTATATTTTAGCACCATAAAGGTTATTTACCAATTATTATTAAGGCAGTACCTGAAGGTACGTTGGTGCCTACAAAAAATGTCTTAATGACTGTTGAAAATACCGATCCAAAATGTTACTGGCTTACTACGTATCTTGAGGTGGGATAAAATTTACTGATCATGTATACATAGTATAGACTATATTAGTACAGGTTTGGTATCCGATGGCTGTAGCAACAAATTCACGAGCAATGAAACAAATTATTGTTAAGTATCTTCATGAAACTGCAGATGACTTTTCTACTGAATTTAGACTTCATGACTTTGGATTCCGAGGCGTCTCCTCCATTGAAGTAAGTCTATCATTTGAATTATTTCAACTTCTATTTCAAACGTTTTCCCTTTTTAAGTGTTTGACTGTGCCGTGTGAAAGGGAAGTGTTTAAGTGACGTTTTTTATAATTGCAAAAGGTTATTCTTACTGTGGATTGAGATCGATGTAATAATTAGAAATAAAAGGTCACATTCGTTTTTAGTCTATGTAAAGTGAACTTTGCTTCTGTACAGTGATTGTGAATTTTCATCGACTGAGATGTCTGGGCCGCATGTTGCGTATGCCTGAACATTGATTACCACGACACGCAACGCTGACTAGTGCTGGGGATGTTTGGAAGAAAGTTAGGGGCGGCCAAACCAAAACGTGTCATCAGTCCTTGTAGTCAATGACTTCTGGTCTGGACCATATTGCTAGATGTAGACTACTTGGTTGGGGTCCGCGTGACCATCGAAACCAATGGTTAGAGATTCTGTGTGACATGTCTCAGAATCGATTACAATGGCGTAGGTGTATGCACTCTTTGTCTTCCTTTAAACCGTGTGATTAAAGTCCCTTCATATTTTTCTTTCTACGAACTGATTCTTTCTTCCTGTACTATATCCTAATATACAGTCTTTCTTTTATATATTACCACCACTGAACTAACTACTTTATGAATTTGGTGTTTATCTTGTTGTGCTAATGAGGTATGACAACTTGGACCGATCCACATATGTGCTTGACTGATTCATTTTAACGTGACATCTCAGTATAGTTTGATGGTGTTCGATTTTTGTCTTATTTTCGATTGAAAATGGATCGTTGCTCTATAAACAGTTATCTCTATGAACTCGTTAATTTAGGTTTGATTTACTTATTCACCAATGTATTATAACAGTGACGTGACTATAACTTATAAAGTAACACATATATAAATGGGATTACACCTATGAAGTATCAAATACTGGTATAGTATTTTGAATTAGACTGAGTTGAGTATGATTTGAAGTTTGTTTTTATAATGAATAACTATTTGGTAGAAAGCTGTTTGCAATAAGGAGATTGCTTTCATCTTGATTTAACTGTGACTAAATACTCTCATCTATGACATGTACTAAAATAACACTTGAGTTTATATCATGGACAGATGTTGTTTAAGGAACCATAAAAAACCAAGAATCACTGGACAACTGTTTTTCCCACGTATGGGACACCTCGACAGTATGTATCCACGACATGATCGAACTCAGGACAAAGACCAGACCATGATGAAAACTATGGAATTCAACAATTTCCATAAACCTCTGTCATGGTAAAATGCACATGATCTATATTTCATAGAGAGCAAATAATCATTCATGGTAAACAGAACACATTATTATCATCATACCAACTATGATACAACTGTCCTTATTTTGAATTCACTTGGTATTGTTTACTTGGCAGACATTATCATAAAACCTATCAATTTACTAAGTCGGATGCTGTCTTAAGGCCAAAAAATATAACTATTGTTGAGATTCGGTTAGCATGGTTATGTTTGCGAACCTGAGAGAGGGAAAACATTTTTTCTACATAGTTACTTCTAGGTCTGAAACCAGTTTAGTTTTTTTGCGTTTGCTCTTCACATACCCTAATTAAACGTGGGGTGATTCTAGGCCTATGTTTTGAAGCTATTCTGTTTGAAGCGATTGCTTCGTGGTTGTAATGAGAAGATTTCTGTTCACTTTTTTAGACTGAGATGATCAGGTATCGAAACCAACCAAACGGGACTATGCCTTTTTACCAGACTAGCTAGAATATGAATTGGTCAAACTACGTCTAGAACTACAATTGTTGAACTAAATTCTCTATTAATTCAATATAAAATATTCTCTAAATTAAAACTCATAAATTATGTATTTCACACAATCAAATTAGGTTACTTCAAAACTGAAGGACTTAGAAGCTTAAGTAAATCATAGGAATTACTGAAAGTTGTAGTCATTCATACAATCGCATTCTCATTTAGCTATGTATTATTCATCATGTAGTTCTATTTGCCATCAAGAAATTCGTTTATACGCAGATCATTGGTTCTGTATTATTTTACTAGCTTTGGTTACTACTGATTGACCCGATCTTTTTTTACCAAAACATTAAAACTTACAAATTATCTATGAATACTGGTAGATATGGATTCACGATGTGACTAGGTTAAGACATGGCGATAGCGTTACTGAGTGGTTTGGTTGAAAATTTATGCAACTGAATAACTTATCAACGATCTCTAAGCTTTGAATATTTGATTATTCTTCGACACTTTACTCCTTTATGTTCATAGCAGTCATGGGTTATCTTTCGAGTTCTCTGTACGCTGTTTCCTTTCCTATATCTAGTTTAAGTCACCGTAAATTTCCTCTGTGTCAGGGAGTGTTTTATATTGATTCCTCTAGGTAACCATGTATATACTACTAAACTAGCATATATTGCTTAGATGAGAAGACTGATATACACTTGAAAGCATGTTCACAGCACTCAAGACCACTGTATTCATAATCAACCTCCCTCTCCAATTCCTATTATTCCTCCTACATCGACTTTCAACTCTATATTTCCTCTCTCGGCTTCCACCTCAAGTGTCACCGTAGCCAACGATTCTAGTGCGCAAAACACTGTCCCAGGTCTACTGAAACCTCGCTCCAAACTACACATTGGAGCCTTCAACGTACGCACCCTATGTCAAACCGGTCAGCAGGCTTCCTTGGCTAAAACCCTAGAGTCTCTTTCCATTGATGTATGCTGTGTCTCCGAAACACACATACAGGATTCCAGTGTGGTCATTCACTTGACCTCACCTCGGCAAGACGGAGAGCCAACGAGATACACCCTTCGTGTGTCTGGTGACCCGGTGGCAAGTTCTCGTGGACTGGCAGGTGTAGGCATAGCACTAAGCATGAGGGCCGAACAAGCACTGCTAGAGTGGATCCCCGTCAACAGTCGTCTATGTGCTGTTCGGCTGAACGGCTACGTAAGAACTCGGAAGGATAGGGACACACGTCGTTGCCTTTTTGTCGTTTCTGCCTACGCTCCCACTGACTGCAGCTCAGATGAAGTGAAAGATGAATTTTACAGAAAGCTGTCCGAACTTCTTCAGAAAGCTAAACGCTCAGACATAGTACTCGTAGCAGGTGATTTTAATGCTCAGATAGGCAGTTTAAACCAAACAGAAAGGCATTTAGGTGGATATTTTAGTGTTCCGACACAGCGAACAGATAATGGTGACCGTCTGCTGCAACTGTGCTCAGACAATCGTTTATTTTTAGCAAACACAAATTTTAGGCATAAGGAGAGACATCGTCTAACATGGCAAACCCCTACACCAAACCAACGATGGACTCAAATAGACCATATTGCCATCAGTCATAGTTGGAGAGGGTCGGTAGAAGATTGTCGCTCATTCTGGAGTACCTGCTTGGACTCCTACCACGCCCTAATACGGGCACGCATCTGCTTGCGCCTCACTGGACGCAAAAAAGCCACATTAAAAAAGACCCGTTAGAACTGAGTTGAGTAACGAGAAAACCAAAAGTAGGTTCCAGGAACAACTGAGGTCACACTTAGGTAGTTCTGAAGACGAGGCTGACCCAGATGTTGCTTGGAAAGACATACAAGCAGCTGTGGAAGCAGCAGTGACATCTATTAGTGACTTAAACCACAGAGTTGCAAGGAACCAGTGGATTTCTTCAAGGTCTGTCACTCTGATGGATTCTCGCAAACTCGTCCCATCAGGTTCCGAACATGATGAAGAGCGACAACAAATCAGATCTAGGTTAAGAAAAAGTCTGAGGAACGACCGTGAGCGGTGGTGGGTAACGAAAGCAAAAGAGATGGAAAAGGCGGCGACTATAGGGAACACAAGACAGCTTTACAGACTAATAAAAGAAACTGGAATTAATAAGTCAAGTGTAAGTGAGATTATTTCGGAAAAAGACGACACCCTCATATGCTCTCAGTTCAGACGTTTAGAACGATGGGCGGAACATTTTAGAGAACAGTTCAGCTGGCCTTCAGCTACTCTACAACTACCCTCCATTCCCAGACAGTGTGAATGGAACATTGAAGTAGGTCCCCCAACTCTTGCTGAAGTTCAAAAGGCTATAGTTAATCTGAAGCGAGGAAGGGCAGCTGGTCCAGATGGATTGGCTCCAGAGGTCTTTAAGGATGGTGGCCCAATTTTAGCGATTAGGTTGACTAATATTTTAGCTAAGATCTGGGAGTTAGACGTTATCCCATCTAACTGGTCACAATCACTTATCGTCCCAATATATAAGAAAGGGTCAAAATCATCCTGTGACAACCATAGAGGGATTAGTTTAACTAATATAATATCTAAAATACTGGCCTCGATAATTATCAAACGCCTAACTAAGACTCGTGAACTACAAACACGAGAGAACCAAGCTGGCTTTAGACCTGGTCGTGGCTGCATCGACCACATATTCACCATTCGTCAGGTTCTAGAACACAGGCATACCTATCGGCGTCCGACGATGGTGGTCTTTCTTGACTTAAAAGCAGCATTTGACTCTGTAGACCGCGAGACTCTGTGGCAGTGTCTGTCATTGAAAGGCGTACCTCAGAAGTACATAAACCTTGTGAAGGCTCTTTACTCGAACACTACCAGTCGAGTCAGAGCTTATGGCGAACTATCATCTACTTTTGCAACCTCAAGTGGTGTCCGTCAAGGCTGTCCACTTTTCCCATTTCTGTTTAACTTCATCATAGACCTATTGATGGAAATAACACCCTCGTCGACTGAGTTCTCGGGTATTGATCTCCTTCCAGGAGGTCCACTTATGGACTTAGAATATGCAGATGACATAGTCCTGTTTGGTGAAGACGCTGACAAAATGCAGGGTCTTCTGGTAGCACTAAGCAACAATGCCAGAATGTTTGGGATGCGCTTCTCTCCCTCTAAATGCAAGTTGCTGCTTCAGGACTGGTCTGCGTCAACACCTGAACTAAGGATAGGGAGTGAAGTAGTCGAACGAGTTGACAACTTCACTTATCTTGGAAGTCTGATCAGCCCTAATGGGTTGGTGTCTGACGAAATCTCAGCACGGATTCGTAAAGCTCGTTTGGCTTTTGCCAACTTACGTCACCTTTGGCGGAGGCGAGATATCCGTCTATCAATAAAAGGACGAGTATACTGCGCGGCTGTTCGTTCTGTTTTAATTTACGGCAGCGAAAAATGGCCCTTAAGAGTAGAAGACACCCGTAAGCTACTAGTATTTGACCACAGATGCCTTAGAAATATTGCTGGCATCTGCTGGGATCACCGGGTAAGTAATAGTGAGGTTAGACGCAGGGTATTAGGGAATGATGGTAAATCAGTTGATGAGATTATGAATCTTCATCGACTAAGATGGTTGGGCCACGTATTACGTATGCCTGAACACCGATTACCGCGACGTGCAATGCTAACCGGTGTAGGGGATGGTTGGAAGAAAGTTAGGGGCGGCCAAACCAAAACGTGGCATCAGTGCCTGAAGTCACTAACTTCTAGTCTGAGCCATGTTGATAGATGCAGACTACTTGGTTGGGGTCCGCGTGACTTTCGTAACCAATGGTTGGAGACCCTTGGTGACATGGCTTAGAATCGATCACAATGGCGTCGGTGTATACACTCTCTGTCTTCTCTTAAACTAAGAGATTAAGATCACTTCACATCTTTCTTTCTACGAACTAATTCTTTCTTCCTATACTATATCCTTATTGCAATCTTTCTCCTATATATTACCACCTTTGACCTAACCACTCCTATGAATCCGGTGTTCATCTTGCTGTGCTAATGAGGTATGGCAACCTGGGCCGATGCATACATGTGCCTGGTCCTACGTTGTAGCTGACTGACTGACTGACTGATGTTCACCTTATGAAAATATACAATTAACAAAAGAGTAGCTACTACACTTAGTGTATGATCGGAATTCCGCAGTTTTTTTAAGGTAATAGTCAACATCACTACATCACTATGTCGATAAAACTGTTCTATCTGTAGTTCCAACAAATTCACTGTTCTTCCTATCCTATAGACCAAATTATCTTGAGACTTAGATTCTTTCCTTATCAGTATTTAGATCAGATAATGGCATTTTTGATCATTTATTTAGTTTCTTACTCATATGTTACACGATAACCGGTGATAGTTATCTCTTCCTTAGTTCTTATTTATCACTTGATCAGTTAAATAAGTATTTGGTAAGCTGGTTAACATTCGATAATCGTACGCTTGATGAGATAGACGTAAGGTTCTACTAGTACGACCAAGTGTGAAGATAGTCCACTCTCCCTCTCAAAATGACCTCATATGGACACGCGTATAAAGTCACTGCCACGGAAGTCCTATTCACTGCCTTCCAATGAGAGGGTTTTTGTTTGTGAGATTGATAGGACGAAAAGTGAATGTCTAGGGCTTTAATCAGGTTGGTGGATATACATAATCCACTTACGGGAGTTGGAAAACACTAATTTCAGATCAGTGGTTTACAGTGGCTCCATGGTCCTGAGGGAACAAATGGCGTACCAACATATTGTTGGTCACAAGCTACTATGGGACTTCATCTCCTAACGTTGCTCCACTGTCCTATGGATCAGGCATCTGGCTCATAGGTTTAGGGAATAGTTCCCTTGGAAAAACCACCTTGTTCGGTTTGGATGTCCGGGTAGTATCCCAGCCCATTCGCAAATTTAATAATAGCTACTTTGTGTGACGCATATGTATTTTTGTGTCCTTTTGTGCCAAAGTTTGTTTAGATAGTTAAATAATTGAGATTTAATGACCATTATTAGTCCGCAACTTCACAGAAATCTATGTATTTTCGGCTGAGTAAAAACTATACTTGCATATTAGACTGAGAATGTGTGAATCCGATGGTTTTTTGAGTTTTATAAATCAGTCGGAACAAACTTTTCTCAATGACTTCCTGTTTGTTAGTTTTAAAGAATATGTACAAGACACGATGTTTTGAGTAACCGTATTACATCATGTAATACATGAACTTCCATCGCTATTTAGTGGCAGTTAGTATAATTAGAACATCCTTTTCTAATTTTTGCTTTATGGCCTAAAATTCGATTTGGTTGGAAATCGTTTACTAACGTATTAGATTTTTTGTCACATTAAAGAGTCAGCATTCGCCTTCAAAAGTGAATGTAGTTCCGTTTTATTTGCCGTTTTCTTAGAGAAAATACTTAGTGGTATGTCCTAAATTCTTATCCACGTGGAGCTTCGATTTCCTCAAAATTACTGGTAAACTCTGCTAGCTAGTAAGTGACACAAAACTTAGTTACAGGATTTCCTGTTGCCTACCTCCGACCTCCACCTTATTCTTGGTCATTTAACTTTGTGATAATCGTCATTTTATTTTGCACTTATATATTACAGTCTGCTGCAATTGGTGGCACTGCACATTTAGTGAATTTCAAAGGAACTGACAGTTTGGTTGCCTTGTTATTCGCCAGAAGGTATTATAATTGCCCGACAGCTGGATTCAGTATACCGGCCACAGAACACAGGTTAGTTTTATGGTAACATCATAGTATATTTATGTACCTGTGAGAATACACTTGTTCCATCCTTACTTCCATTACCCATTATATCTGAAAGTCCTCAAAAATCAACTGCATCTTTTTTCCTCCCCGGACTTCGGTCATGTTTTTGCGAATATCGAGTTTCTTCACATGTGGTTCACAGCTTTTCCTGTAGACCTCGATATTGATTGCTTATTGTTGACCCCTAACCTGTCATTGTTTACTTTATTTTGGTTGTATCTCCCATTGATTTGATTTTTGGTCCTATGTCTTTCCAAAAATTTTCTGATTGGTTGATAAATTGGATCGATTTCAATGCGTTTGTTGATAGCTGAATGACCTGTGTGCCAAGCTTCTAAAAATTTTCTCTATCCAAGATCTCAATGTTTTTCCAGCTCAGAGATCAAAACTCCATCAAAATCACCTATTTGGGCTACAAAACTTCACCATGTCAAGATTACACGCGGATTATGATTTCGTCAGTTTAAACGATAGATGGCCTTCCTGGCGCTGCATAATGTTTTTTTTTGAATTTTTTATACCTCTGATTGAAACCCTTAATCCATTTGGAAAGTGCTGTTTATATCTGTCCGTAACTAGCAATCTTAGTATTTCAGATTGTGAGTGGACATATTGTGAGTGGAGTAGTTGTTACTACTGTGATTGAATGGTTGTCGCTCTATATCGCGAGTTGATTGTGGTAATCAGGTGTGACAACTTGGGCCAACTCACAGATGTGTTAGGCTCTGTGTTGATGACGTAAGTCTGTATGGTATACCAGTTAATATCAATCTGTGGCGAATACAACCTAGGAATATACATATAACATTGTCACGTTCACTGGATTTCATTTTAAATTTATGGAAAAGCATACATATCGTACATACTATGATTAACAGTTGGTTGCTTGAAGTTAGATATTAACACCGTCGGATGCCGGCTCTGTGATCTAGATGTAAAGTGTTCGCACGCGAGAGTTAAGGGCCTAGGTTTGGGTCCCGTGTTTGGGACCGTGGATGTACACTGCTGAGGAGTCGCATACTTAGACAGGATGCCCATCCAGTGCCTCCAGGTTCTCAATGATGGTCTAACATTGATCGGTTCATGATCTCAATGATACATACTATGATTATTGGCCATGATAATAACAGGGACCTGTTAGAAATTAATTAATTGAGGAAAACTCAATTCTCTTTTAGTCTATAAAATTGAAAGTATTCCTGAAATCTATTTGAATCCTAGTTTAATTAGATTTTTTGACTGAACACTTCAAAGTAGCTTAGGAAAATAGTGTCGAAGTAAAATACATTTGAATCTTCATAGTAAAATATCAATCGTTTTCGTTTCTTGATTCGATTTCTGAATTATCTCTTTTACATTGATATGAAATTTATACATCAGTTTCAATCATGGCTTGCAAGTACTGACAGTTGAATAAATCACTCGATATGTACGTAATTTATCTTACAAACTCACATAAAATGATCATATTGTTCTGTTAAGTCATTAGGAAAGTCAATTAAACATATTATGGCCTAATGGTCACCTGAATATTTGACTTAAGATCTGTGGGTTCTTAGCTTTTCTGTTCAGCTGTCACTCAGCTAGCAGAATTGATGGCCTAAGATGTAAATGTATCTGAGGTTACTGAATTATACTAAGTAGTACAAGAAATGGTAAGTAAAGCGTTTTGTAGTTATCCTATTGATCAATGAAAATTGTCACCACAAATATGGTTGTTATTATTGTATTGCCATGGTTTACAGTAGTAGTATATCAACAGTATGAAGCGATTTGGTGTTGTTTGTTTTATTTTTTTCAGATTTTAGGCCTAGTCATAAACCACACAATAATTAATATAGTAATCGCACTGACAACTCGTGTAAAACGTAATCAATATATAAACTTATCTATGATGTAAGACATTTTCTATGTAACGTATTAGTGGCGCATTGTCTAACTATGGTTAGCGTTTTTTGGCAAGGTTATTTTCTACGGGATGGAGTTTTCAATACCACTTCTAACCCTCTTCCTTTACCCGGTCTTTGGACCAGGAGGGAACAATATTTTAATCTGTAAAACCAATGATTCTGGAATTTTACACGATCTACTCATTTTATCTACAAATTAAAAATACCCATTTTATTCAATAAATATATTTTTAAAAAGAACAAGAACAAGGATTCTAGCCGAATAGCATAAATCTTATTTTATTCCGTTGATTCTCATCAGCTACCGCCAAAATAAAATGAATTTATGCTATTCTACTAGAATCTTTGTTTCCATTCTTTTCAAAATGATAAATAGGACTATGTGTATGAGATGTGTTTTTTTTGTTATGTCCTATTGGATTATTTTTCTGGTAAGCGTTTTTTTAGCGAAGAACTCCTGAATAGGCCGGCTCCAATGAATCCACAGGACATAGAAACAACACACATAGATCTTCCTATAGATGTCAACCCACCAACGACGGAAGAAATTAGAATGGCCGTCAGACAAATCAAGAACGGGAAAGCAGCAGGACCCGACAACATACCAGCTGAAGCACTGAAATCAGACATCGAAGCAACCACAAGCATGCTGTACCTTCTGTTCAAAAAGATTTGGGAGGAGGAACAAGTGCCAATGGACTGAAAAGAAGGACACCTCGTCAAGATTCAAAGAAAGGAGATCTGAGCAAATGTGAAAACTACAGAGGCATTACACTACTGTCAATACCAGGGAAAGTCTTCAACAGAGTGTTGCTGAACCGGATGAAGGATGCAGTAGATGCCCAACTTCGAGATCAACAAGCTGGATTCCGAAAGGATCGGTCGTGCACAGACCAAATTGCAACACTACGGATCATCGTCGAACAATCAGTTGAGTGGAACTCGTCACTATACATCAACTTCATTGATTATGAAAAGGCATTCGACAGTGTAGATAGGAGGACATTATGGAAACTTCTTCGACACTACGGAGTTCCTGAGAAGATTGTCAACATTATCCGGAACTCATACGACGGACTACAGTGCAAAGTAGTGCATGGAGGACAGCTGACAGATGCATTTCAAGTAAGGACCGGAGTCAGACAAGGCTGTTTACTCTCTCCCTTCCTCTTTCTTCTGGTGGTCGACTGGATTATTAAGACCTCAACATCTGAAGGAAAACACGGAATACAATGGACAGCTCAGAACCAATTAGACGATTTGGACTTCGCAGACGACCTGGCCCTCCTATCACGTACACACGAACAGATGCAGACAAAGACAGCCAGTGTAGCAGCAGTCTCTGCATCAGTAGGCCTCAGCATACACAATGGGAAAACCAAGGTCATCAAATTCAACACGGAGAACAGCAGTATAATCACACTCGATGGCGAAACTCTGGAAGATGTAGAATCCTTCACATACCTGGGAAGCATCATCAATGAACAAGGAGGCTCAGATGCAGACGTAAAGGCGAGGATTGGCAAAGCAAGGGTCGCATTCCTACAATTGAAGAACATATGGAACCCAAAACAAATTTCAACCAATATCAAAGTGAGAATCTTCAATACGAAGGTCAAGGCAGTTCTAATGTACGGAGCTGAAACTTCGAGAACTACAACAACCACCATCAAGGAGGTACAATTAATTAAAAATAGTTGTCTATACAGGATACTTAACATCCATTGGTCAGATACCATGAGGAACAGCTTACTGTGGCAGAGAGTAAACCAACTTCCAGCTGAAGAGGAAATTAGGAAAAGACGATGGAAATGGATAGGACATATATTACGCTAATCATCAAACTGCATCACGAGGCAATCGCTAACTTGGAATCTTGAAGAGCAGCGAAAAAGTGGAATGCCAAGGAATACATTACGTCAGGAAATCGAAGCAGATATGAAAAGGATGAATAACAAATGGAGGAAGCTAGAAAGTATTGCCTAGGACAGGGTTGGATGGAGAATGCTGGTGAGTGGCCTATGCTCCTTCACGAGGCGTAACAGGCGTAAGTAAGTATGTCCTATTGAGTAGAAAAATTGTAGTTGTGACATGAAAAAATGACGTACATTGAGTTACTAAATGTCAGAAATGCAACATTTCTGCTGATTGGGACATAACAAAAATATATTTATTATTAACTCTCTCTACTCAATGCTCAATTTATTTGAAACTATCAAATTCAACTTTAGAATTGATACCTATAAACGATTTTATTATCTCATGCCGAATAAATTTTAAAATAAAGTTTAAGATGTATAAATATAATATAATATAATCTGGATTAGTGGGAGTTAATTCAGTAGCTCTACCGTCGCTGCTACCTTGACGCTGTAGTCGGGCTTGCCTATCATGATAAACCAGTTGAGCTATGCTGGATGGAACAATCGTTCCTCAAGGTCCTACCATACCGGGCAGGTAAGTTGAACAGCGGTAGGACTGGCAGTAGCAAACCCAAGGTCCGAAGGTGAAGTCGTACTGCTGACTATACAGTGGTGAGACAACAGTAAGGTGTTTCCTTCAGACAACCAACATAACAGCGATGCTGCCTTATCGCAAGTGAAGGGTGTGGTTATAAATGGTCGACCTTAAAAATGCACACATCGCCTTATCCCACGGATTTCTGTCTGCGGCAATAAGGTCTCAACAAGTAGGGAGCCAACACAAAACGTATCCTCAAAAAGGTGGAGTGTGACCAACCTCAATCAGTTGTTTCTTGGACACTGCGATCACTCTGTCAGGCCACTAAAACCAACTCTCATCCAATTAGCTTTCCAAGTAATTCTACAAGAACCTTTCTATGGTGTGGGCGACTGAGAAGTGATAACCACCCTACCATATATAAAGGGCGTATCAGAAACTACAACGAGATTTTTGTAACCTTTCAGAATAAGTGTTGTACACAAAGCAACAAAATCACTACAATCAATCCTATGCATACCAAAGGACGAAATCATAAAAGAAGAAAAGGTTTGCTTGAAAGCCAAATGTACTGTTTAGATGATAGACAGTATA